ACACAGCTTCTGTGGATCGTTTATAGAGTTTGCTGCAGCATTGAGTGATGCTTCTAATGTGGCTTGATCTTGGTGATGACAAGCTGGCTGGGAGTCAGAGGTGCTGTGTTGTTCTAATCCTGCACGAGACATGCGAACATATGCAATTCAAAGGTGTCAGCTGTCCCTTATGAAGGGGGAATTGTGTAATTGATTCACAAAACTCGTGAACATCAGGAGGAGGCCTAGTAGGTTGGAGGCCATGGCTATTAGGTTGGAGGCCATCGCTAGTAGGGGAATGTTTTTTGCGACTTGTTGGACAGGATTCCAAACCTCGACGTCCAACTGGTGGTGGCTACGGCTGCTTCCTAGCTGCCAAACGGCCAGAAATTGCAAAGACCCTGCCAGAGGGCTCCAAGATCACCGATGTGAGCAAGGCAGAATTCCTGTCACTGGTTGTCCTTTTGTTTTGTCTCTTCTGCTCGGAGGCAGCGGGTGAGATGTGGAGAGGTCTTACAGCATCTGAGAAGAAGCCGTACGAGGAGGAATTCTTGAAAAGACTGGCTGAATACCAGGAGGCAAAGGAAGCTTATGATGCTGCGAAGCAAGGTACCATTGACCTGCTTGAACTGGCAATGCCAAGCAAGAAGGCAATTAAGGCCGGAGCTTAGTGGTTTAGGATGGTTCAGGGCTGCTGCAGTGTCCGCTTGGACAGATGCAAGTCCAGCACAGCCACGGTGTTTTGGCCAGAGGGGCTCTCTGCCCATTGGGGCTTTGCTTCTCTTCTGGGGGTGCAGAAGATGAGGAAGCACTTTGCCTGTACAGCTTTGCCACTGAAAAAGACGCAACTGTTTTCCACAACTTGTACCGCTGGATCTCATCTTGCATTCCTTCCACTGAAAGTTTGTTCGAAGGCAAAAGTACTGTAAGCGATGATCGACGAACTGTCAAGGTCACTGGCATGGTGTTCTCTCACACATACCCATACACACACACTCTCTCTATCTGTCTTTCTCTGTACAAGTCGTCAGCACTTGCTTTGGTTTTGTGATTTGGTTTTGCGGCACGTCATATGGACAGATTTCAAAGTGAGGAAACAGGCGCAATCACAGGTACAGTAGTTGGATGATGTTCGAGTGTAGTATCTACTGGCAACGTATGTTTGCTTGAGCTTGTGGCTCGGGATTGTAGCTCTCTCCCAGCCATGGCAACGCTCGCCATCCACAACCATGAGACGCCATTGGATTTGGTGGCCAGAAACTTAAAGAGTGAGAGGCCCAGTCAAAGATGCGGCGCTCTCCGAGAGATTGGGAGAATGGGCCAAAAAATCTCAAGGAGAGAGATGGACACAACCGTGGTACCTATGTTGAGCGACAGTGACTCAGCCGTGCAAGAGCATGCTTTGTTGGCTTTAAGTCAACTTGGTGAGAAGTCGCACGGCTTTGCACAGCTCGTGGCATCAAAGCTAGAGACCAGATCAAAGCAAGTAAAGCGAGCTGCAATGGTGGCTCTGGGAAGTATGGGCCCCATAGCTGTCGGTCATGCAGGATCTATTCAAGCCATGTTGAATGATCGTGACCTTGATCTCGTGGTCGATGCCTGCAATGCACTAGGCAAGATGCAAGCAACTCAGGCTGCAGGTGATGTTGCAGCAAAGCTCACCAGCTCCGATTCAGATGTGGTCTTCGCAGCTTGCATGAGCTTATCAGCAATGGACAGCCATATACAAGATGTTGGGAAGCTGTTGAAGAACTCCGATGCCCGAATCAGGTCGGCCGCAGTAAATGCCCTGAAAGGCATGTCTGGATCTGAAAGCTACTCTTCGGATGTGGTTTCCCTTCTTGGAGACAAGGACAGCTATGTCAGGCTAGGAGCTGCAGATTTTACTTGTCGGCTTGGTGCCAAAGCCACAGACATGGTGGTACCCATTGGCAAGTTCTTGTCAGACTCTAATCCTGGTGTGGTAGCTGCAGCTGCCGCTTCTTTGGGAGGTATTGGAGAAGCAGCTGCTTCACAAATCCCGGCCTTGGAACAAGCCTTGCGCAACTCTGGTGAGGATTCTTCCACTCTGCCATTGACCGTTGCTGGCATTTCTCCAAAGCTGGTCTCTCTACTTCGCAAGCCTGCTTGTGCAGCTGCAAATGCCTTGGCCAATATGGGGAGTGCAGGTACCACTTCTGCACCAAGGCTTGTGGAGTGTTTGAACTCAAAGGATTGGGAGCTGCGAGTAGCAGGACTGCATGCTTTGAGCAAAATGGGAAGCTCAAGTGCTCGGTATGAGTATCACATTGTTGACTTATTGCGGGATGAGATTCCTCCAGTTGCGGCTGCTGCATGCTTGGCAATCGGTGAAATTGCCGCGGCGACTGGAGAGGCCAACAGTTCCACCGCACGGGCAGTTGCCGAATTGCTGGAACATCCACATCCAACAGTCCGAGCTCGAGCTGTCCAGAGTCTCAGCAAGATGGGAGATGAAGCCCATGCACACATCGAGACCTTCGTGTCTCTTTTTGGAGATAGGGCATGGAACGTCCAGGCTGAGGCAATCCGCGCAGTGGCCAAGTGCGGAGAGCTTGGGCAGATGTTTGCACCTGACGTGTGCCGCATGACTTATCAAGGTCTCACTCCAGCAGTTCAAGTCGCAGCCTGTGAGGGGCTGGCACGAATGGGCACCCGCGGTGCCTCCTTCAGAGAGGAAGTGCAGCAACTGGAGGATGATGGAGAGCAAGTAGTCAGGGATGCGGCCAGAAAGGCACTGGAGTTCTTTGACAGAGCTGATTCCGCTGCTGCTTTAAAAGACAGAGTGCCTGCTTTGACCGAGGAACCCCTGGAAGAAGAGTGACGACAGCCTGAGGTGGTCTCTTCCGTTTGCAAGTGTAAGATGCCTTTTCACTACAGGCGGGATAGGTAAAAAGGTCGCACTGCCGCACTGCACCCAGAGCTTCGCATTGGCACGCATACGTAGCTTAGTCACTCCTAGTCAACCGAGACTGCGTCCACAGCCTCACTTATTTCCGGTGCAGTCACACTTTTCATAAATTATGTGTATAATATATTAATATATATATATACTGTAACACTGTATATATAATATATATAGAGAGTTTTCTTGTGACGACCACAGGTCATGTTTTCAAGATCTGTCTAGTAGCTGAGCTTGACTCGAAGAGGGTACTTGAGCGTAATTCAATGCATGCTTGATGCATTTTTGGCTCAGGATACAGGCATACAATAGTTAATGGCTAGTCAATTACTCTCAAGATTGCAATGAGAGCCCAGGCTTGCAGATAGCATCAGGATGTTCAATAGCTTTTATATCTACACAATCAACATATGAAGCTCGACTTGAGAGGAGCACAACCCACTAACACTCAGCAAATCTATTACAAATTTTGAGATGGAGGACTTGAGCATTCCATCGGAGGCCTTGCATGAAGGGATCGATAGGCTGCAAACGCCTTGACACAAGTCCCAACAACTAGAGACAACAGGAAGAAAGAACAATGACAAATGAAGAATAAAGGTCTATTGGTCGAAACAAAAGACAAAGAAACGATAAAGAAAAGAAACT